AGAATTTCAATGGATCCAAATGGCCAAAACAATCTTGAAAAATAAAAATAAAGTTGGAGGTCACATACTTCTTGCTTTCAAAACTTATTATAAAGCTACAGCACTCACCCTGGCCAGGTAGCTCAATTGGTTAGAGCATTGTCTTGATATGCCAAGGTTGTGGATTTGATCCCTGGCCAGGGTACATACAAGAATCAACCAATAAATGCATGGATAAGTGGAATAGCAAATCAATCTCTATCTCTCCCTCAAAATCAATTTTTAAAAAAAGCTACAGTACTGAAACAATGAGATGTTGGTATAAAGATAAATATACAGAAGAATGGAATAGAGTCCAGAAATAAACCCACACAAGTATATGGTCAAATGCTCTTCAACAAGGGTGCCAAGACCATTCAATGGGGAGAGGAGACTTTTATTAACAAGTGGTGTTTGGAAAACTAGATATCTACATGCAAAAGAATTAAGTTCAACCCTTACCTTACACCTTATACAAAAATTAACTCAAAATGGATCAGAGACCTAAGCATAGTTGCTGAAACTCTAAAACTAACCATTAGAAGAAAACATAAGGTAAAAGCTTCAGGACATTGGATTTGGCAATGATTTCTTGGATAAGACACCAAAAGCACAGGTAATGAAAGTGAAAATAAGTAAATTGGACTATATCAAAATTGAAAGCTATGTGTCGAGACACAACAGTGAAAAGGCAACCTATGGAACTGGAGAAAATATTTGCAAATCACTTATCAAATAAGGGACTAATATCCAGAGTATGTAAAGAACTCCTATAACTCAACAACAAGCAAACAAACACATTACAAAATGGACAAAAGACTAAAATAGACATTTTTCCAAAGATGACATACAAATGGTCAACAAACATGAAAAAATTCTCAACATCACTAATCATTAGGGAAATGCAAATCAAAACCACAATGAGATATCATCTCAGATCCATTAGAACGGCTATAATCTAAAACACCAAACAATCAGAAAATAAGTGTTAGTGAGGATATGGAGAAGTTGGAACACTTGTGCACTGTTGTTGGGAACGTAAATGGTGCAGCTGCTATGGGCAACAGTATGGAAGTTAAAAAAATTAAAAATAGAATTACCATAAACTCCAGCAATACCACTTCTGGATATATATCCAAGAGAATTGAAAGCAGAGTCTCAAAGAGATAGTCGTACACCTATGTTCACAGCAGCATTACTCACAATAGCCAAAAGGTGAGAGCAACCCAAGTGTCCATTGTCAGTTGAATGGATAAGCAAGATGTGGTATAAACATACAATGGAACATTACTTGACCTTGAAATGGACGGAAATTCTGACACATGCTACAACAAGGATGAACCCTGAAGATATTGTGCTAAGTGAAATAAGCCAGGCAAACAAAAAGACAAATACTATATGATTTCACTTTTGAGGTATCTGGTCAAACTCATAGAAGCAGAAAGTACAATGGTGGTTGGAGAGGGATGAAGGAGAAATCGTTTAATGTATATAGAGCTTCCGTTTCAATTGGTTCCACAACAGTGTGAACATATGGCACTACTGAACTGAGCACTTAAAAATGGTTAAGATGGTAAATTTTATGTGTACTTTACCACANNTCAGAGAGAGGAAAGGAGAGGGGGAGAGAGAGAGAGAAACATCAATGATGAGAGAGTCATTAATCGGCCGCCTAGCCCACAACCCGGGCATGTGCCCTGACCTGGAATCGAACCCCGATCGCCTGGATCCTAGGTCAACGCTCAACCACTGAGCCATGCCCGGCCGGGCACATTTAAAAATTTTAATCAAGTTTCAAAAAAGAATCCTTACTCAGATATTACCTCCTCTCCTCCAGCCCCAGTGTGAATTAACTACTCCCTCCTTTGTGCCTCCACTTTATCTTGAAAATACCATTATCACATTTTGGGTAATTGTTTGACAGGATAAGGGTTACTGTCCCATTTGCCCCCATCAAGGGGTGAGATGAACACTTATGCACTTCTGGGGTCTTTACCAGAAGCTAAGAAAATATACTAAGGTCTTTGGCAAAAATCTTAGATGGGAAAAGAGACAGTAGCCCTGATGGCATAACTACGCTAAAGGGAATGGTCATTATTAGCAAAAGTATATCTTATATCTGCAGAGGTTTCACGCTGAGGTGAGGTCTGGAAGGGCCATTTGCCTTCAGTCCCTCTTTTGTAGGCAGGATCTGAAAGAACTAAAGAGCACTCACTCCCACTCCCACCCATACAGGAACCTCCCGGCTCAGCCCTTAGCCCAACCAGCTGAAATGACTGGCCCAACCCGGCCTGCTCCCTGGAGGGAAGAGAGGAGGGTGCTCACTGAGCCTCGGTAGCTTATCCAATAGATAAAGTACCCAGGCACCAAGTAAAAAACCATTTTGCTGCTTCCCCTGAACTCTTTGTATGTTTTTGTTAATCCTCACCTGAGGCTATTTTTTCCATTGCTTTTTAGAGAGAGTGGAAGGGGAGGAAAAAAGGGAAGGAGAGAGAGAGAGAGAGAGAGACATTAACTGGTTGCCTCCCACAGCAGCCAGGAAAGAACCCCCAACTCCGGTGCATGCCCTTGATCGGGAATTGAACCCATGACCCTTCAGGGCTCGCGCTGAAGCTCTAACCACTTAAAACACTGGCCAGGGCTCTTTGCATGTGCTCTTGATTCCTAATAAACTTATTTTCCCTCCTGATCATGGACTGTACTTTCCTGCCCTTCCAAGGTCATGTCCAAGAAGTTACATTTGTTTGATCTGTCTCCCTCCTAGATGGGGAACTCCTTGAGGGCAGAGCCCATACGGTTCATCCTTGTATCCCCAGTGTCCACTAGTCCTAGCACAGAGCAGGTGCCCAATAAGGCCAAACGAATGATTGGTTAGTGAGGGTGGGGTGAGTCATTACCCATAGAGGGACTTCTCGCCAAGCAACTAGTCCATTCAAGCAAAAAGGGTAGTCTGAACTAGAGAGCCACGAGGAATATGTGGGTCTGGTGGGAGTGGGGAGCAGAGGGAGCATGGGAAGAAAAAGTGGTTCATTATGAAGCCCAGGTTGAGCTGGCTGATGAAATTTGTACTCTCCAGTTTCATGTTCTGTTGTCTCACTCGTCATTCTACAGTGCAGACATGTATCTGGCCCCAAGGCAAATTTCCTTTCATTCTATAATTTCAGCTCCATCTGAAGCACCACCATAACACTTGGCAAGTGGCCACAATTCCACTGCCACACATACCTTGCTTCAGTTTTAAATTAGACATTATTTTATCTAAATTAGACATTATTTTATGTTCAGGGCTGTTAACAGTAAGAGGCTCGTGGACGGTCCCTTACTGCAGTCAGTTCTCTGTCATTTCCTCCCATCTCCCGGAATCCTGGAAAAGATTTCTAGCAATGGGTAATGCGGCACCCCCCAAACCAGCTTTATTTGTCAACATAATGGCACCCGTTCAAGCTCACATTTATAGAATTTGCGAGCTGGAAGGGAGAATAAAGATTACCTTTGTTTCTCCTGTACGGAAGAGAGCCAAACTGGGTCAGGGCAGGTTAGAACCACAACTCAGAGACCCTGGCTTCCAGCGCTGAGCCCTTTTTCGCCCAGCGCACCCCTCTCTGCATTTCTGTGCAATTAGGGCTCCCTCCGGACAGCTCTACATTATCTGCGTTAGGAGGAGAGGAATGGGCAGCCACGGCTTTTCCACAGGTTAATTTTCTGGGACGCCTGGGTGGTGTTTCCCTGAAGCCCTACTCTCAATGGGGTTGGCTTTAAGGTGCTGTTCCATCAGCTGGGGCCGAGGGGAGGGTCCACAGCGCGGCGGTCAGCCGGAAACTTGCCACGGCCAGAGCCCCGCAGCTGATGGGCTGCGCGGTGGGCAGGCCGCTGGTGGCTCCTAACACCCCCAAGTCCTGTACGTGCCACCTAACAGGCACTCACCGAGCACCCACTGCGTCCCTGGCTGCAGCTGCCTAATTAAGAGTTGAGCGGCTGCGCTCCATCCCTCCACAGGCCCGAGGAGCCTACGAACCGGCAGGCACAGGGACTTCGGATTCTCACCTCGGATCTGGCCTTAACTTGTGTTGAGACTCCGAGCACGTATTTTAAATTCTTCAACATGGTGGCCTGTGGCTTCAAAAGTTTGGGGGGGAAAAAAAAGCTTCTCAAAACGGAAAGGTGTTTTTTTGTTTTTGTGAGCCGCTCAACAGGCCCCCTGTCCCAGGAGCCACATCCCACCCACCCCGGGGCCCAGGCTGCCAACCGCCTGCCCGGCGGGCTCCCCCGGCCGGCCCTGGAGAGCCAGCGCAGCGGGGCCAGGGGGCGCCTTTCTCTTTAAGAG